GGGATTTTATCTTAAGTGCAAATATATGATAAATGCTTACTCTTAAAATAAAGTAAATCCTTATTATTTAATATAATTCCAATAGATTGTATTTACAAGTAGAATACGTCCAATCTGATTGGAACACCGGGTATCATACTCTAACAATACATTCATTAGATACGCGCGTCATACATACATCTTGACATAAAACATCCTTTTCCAAACCGTGAAGTTGGTTTGGCAAGGCTATACGCCCATTCTTTTCCAAACCCTGAAGTTGGTTTGGCGAGGCTAACGCCCTACACAAAATTACATGAAACATCGGGAGCATTACTCGATCATGCAATAATTCAATAAAAATGAGGCCAAAGATCGGATATCGAGCTATCCGACCCGCTTCATCTTACGAAAAATAAACAAAAATCGTGTCGTCTCTATACGACATCAAAATCGCAAATGCGATAACAATATCATGGGGCCCGAGTGCTCCCACATATAAATACTATTACCATCGTTACCGAAGCAAATCAATCAAACGCTTCACACTGCACGCAAAATGCCGAAAATTGGGTACCGAATTACCCTACCAGGCCAATCAGGCCCCATTTGTATATCAATCTCAAAAAGTTGACTATCCACGCAGTCAACTCCATTTGCCAGAACAAAAACATGATTGGCATTAATAAGTCAGGCCGAAGCCTGAACACGATCGATAAAAGCGACTGCGGGTNNAAAGCACCCGAACAATGTCCGTATGTCATTTAGTACAGCTACATTCGGCCAAAATTGATTGTACATGCGACTTCAGAACAGTTCCATTCAGAACATGCCCTAAAGTCGGGGGCCTTCTGTTGATACCTAATTTTGGCCTCGCCTATTAAAATATTAATTGTGAATATATATTAAATAAAAATAAATAGCAGGTTCTTCTGTCTAATTTATATTGACCGAGTTCTCGGAAAACAAAGGTCCACGTCCAGAAACCGCCAGCTCGACCCAGATATCTCAAAGAAGCCACTTTGAGAGACACGTCAATTGCTAACAAGATAAATACCAGTCGAAGCTATTAGTTATTATTGGGCCCTGCGCGGTCATATTTAATTATTGGGCCCTGCGTGGTCATATATATTATTAGACCCTGCGCGGTCATATTTATTATTGGGCCCTGCGCGGTCATGTTTTATCGTAAAAACCCATTAGGTATACGGGCCCATATTAGCCCAAATATAAATATATATACGGGCTAAAGAGATAGAGATGAGAGGACTTGATCTTTCTCCTTTATCCAAAACAGAGGCACCGCCTCTTAAGCCTTCTTCTTTTCCATGAACAGAAAATACAGACATTTCTTCCTTTCAACTTCTTCATTTTATTTCTTACAATTATTCAATACAAATACATCTTCCAAACATCACTAAATATTGGCATTATCTCTACACCGATTATTCACGGAATAGGGTGTATATTTTTGTTGTTACAATTTTGTATAACAACAACAGCCTTGTCCGTTTAAGTCTAAAAAGTAATAATGTTATTATCTATTTTCTACCTCTTTTAATCAACATCAAGTCTAAAAAATTATTAAGTCGCCATCTGGCAAATATGTATGGAGTTATGTGTTCGTGTCTCATAAGTCACAAACATTATGAATAACATTACAAATTATTCATTCAAACTTTTATTCATAGCAAATATATTAAAATAGTTTATATAACAGCCATTAAATACCACTTTTAATATATTTATAAATAAAAAGTACATAAAATTTCTGGTGTGTTCAAATTTAAATAATTTTTATGAGCTCAATTTTAAATCATTCAGACATTTGGTCAAACGCATATGTGAGTTCAAATTTAAATCATTGGCATTTTGATCGGTTGAAATTTAAATCATCTATCATGGTACTGTGATGTGTATTATATATATATATATATATATATATATATATAATTTTTTAACAAATAATATGTGCTTGATAAAAATAATAATAATAATTTCACAAGATTTTAAACGTAAGATTTAGTTTTTAATCACAATAGAAAAATCATGGTAAGTTGTATTAAAAATGTGTTATGAGATAAAACAATTAACTAAAATAATTAAATAAAATACTTAATGGAAATAAAATACACTAATTACTTTTGACTTTTCTTACTACTAATTCTAGTAAATAGAATGTCTTTTTATACACAAGTATAGATTTCACACTTTTTGCACAATTTAATGAAATTACACGCAGATTGTATAGAATGTAAGGTTAGTACAATCCAATTCGAAATTTTCATTCAGGTCAAACCATGAATCAGGAATACAAAAACTAGCCTAGCCAATTTCAAACTGAGAAGATATAGCAGCAATGTAGAGTTAATTTAACAATTTAAATTTAAAACGCTCTAGCAGATTTCCGCTTCTAGGCAGTTGTATTTTAATCCAACAGAGAAGCGCTTAGAAAACTTGTCTGATATTAATGTTAATTCTGGATGTCCTGATGTACTTTAAGTAATGTTGATCGTCTTCTGCAGCAAACTGAGACTCAAGATCGGATATTTCGGCATTTTCTGCATCAGTAAAAATACGAGGAACACCTGATAGCCAAATTAACGAAAAATTAGCACAAGTCTGAGAGCAAGTTAAATACCATTATATCTGTTCAAATGGATAGCATTTATAAGTTTAAATGCAAGGAAAATGACATCTCCATTATCATCAAACATTCCAAGAACATCAGGTGCATTAGAATTATACATAAACTGCTAACCAACCAGATAAACATACCATCAGATGACCCTTATATCCGAAACATATGGAAGTGTGGATATATATGATTAGTTTGATAATTATATGCACACAATACTGAATACAAACCAAAAAGTCTTATATTTTCAGGCCAATGTTTCCAGGATATCCCAATAAACATATATGCATTTTGGCACACAAGTGAAGGGTGAATTTCACCTTACCCGTGTGGGCACTGAGTTTTTAACCATTTGATCAACACACACCCACACAAGTGTGTTTGTATGTGTGTGATTTTTGACGGTTAAAAACCCGCTATGGGCACTTGCCCACACCAGTAAGGTCGAATCCTTCCTAGTGAACATCCCAACCTCACAAATTCACAATGTAATCAATAGGTCAGCACGATAAGCAGCATTTTCAGAGATTACTTAATAGCAAGCAATATGACATGGATGGAAATAGAATAGCTACCATTGTATATAAATGGCACATAAGAAGCACAAAAACGTATATTACCGTGAAAGCACTCCCTTGCTTCTCCAGCCATTAGTACAACATCACCACTTCTGAGGAACATTGCAATTGGTTTATCATCCCTCGATTTGCCGCCAAGGAGGAAAATAGCTTTGCAACCCAAACTGATGAAAGAATATATCTTAATGTTGATACGAGTACACACTTTGGACAAGAACAAGAAGAAAAACAGTGTTGACCAAGAATGAAAAAAGGTGCTTGTAGTACACTACCTCATGCTCACAATAGGTTTACTCCAATCCTTTTCCATGTCATCTAGGTGCCCACCAAGCATATCACCTAAAAGAAAATGCAAAAAAAAAAAAAAAAATTGCCACACTACTTGTTTATTTGTGAATTCCTGAATGAGAGAGAGAGAGAGAGAGAGAGAGAGAGAGAGAGAGATTAACATGTGTGTTTGTTGTAAGATATGAGAGTAAGTAAAAAGACAAGCAGCCTCCAATAACCCAGGCAAAGATTTCAAAGATGTTAAAATTATAAATCACCTAATCCAAAGTAATTCACTATGGCAGCTTCTGGGTGGAATTCTACACCATGCGGCATAGCAGGTCCAGCCATCTTTTTGGCCAATTGGCATAGTGCATCAGGTATCTCCCTGTGAGGGAGAGAAACGTTATAGCTCCTCTGCAGAAACACAAAAACATTCATTTTCACGAGAAATCCCAAAGACTGAAATGAAATGTCATATAAGAACAAAATGATAACAGAACATAAATTTAAGATAGAACAATCACAGCCCAACACAAACAGGGGAAATTTTATGTTACTTCTCGAAAATTGATTCAGCACTTTTTTAAACTCTCAATAGCAGAGCTACATGTCCCGTGAATATGATTACACGTTGTTAAATATTTGTTTAAGTTAATAATATCAGTGTTTGGAAGTAATTGTTTAAGTTTCTGCTTCTAAGGAAGCAACTCCACTAGACATTAATTCACCATAGGAAAGGTATTAAGCTAAAATACAATGCGGCTATGGGTCATAAAATCACCAAAGGTTACACATGGATATATCATAACCAACAGAAACATGCAAATCCATTCACCATTCATATATAAACGACCATCAGCTTCTACAGTTACGTGACAGCCAGATCCAGATATAATGAGACATCTCTAGTACTTCAAGATATACTTCCACAATTGTAACTTAATTGAGCATGATTAAGCTATTAACAAGTCTCAGGCTAGCAAAAACATATTCCTAATAAAATAGTATAAAAATATTATAAGCGCAAGCTTTTGATACTCTTTTCTCCATGTGATCAACAATCCAAGCGACCTCGATATCCAAGCTTTTTGATACTCTTTTCTTCACGGAATGAAGAAAACCAAGACAATAAACAAAATTAATCAATTGAAATATCAATCGAAGAAGGATTCAAGCAAGACCTTAGACCAATCAAACTGCAAGCCAAGGGTACTCCATCTTAACTTACGGAGCAAAACAGAAGCAGACACAGACTTGCAGGCATCTTTCCCATGTGCTTCACCCAATTGCTCCTCGACAAACTTCCAAAGGGGTTGACCTACATCTGCTTGAGTAACATCACTATACAAACAACAATCGTCACGAATTTTATCTTCCAACACTAAAAACTTCGCTTCTTTAGCTGAAGCAAATAAATCCTCTATGGGTCCATAAATTGCATTGTGGTTTGTTAAATTAGGCGGTTGAGGAAAACTTGATAAACTTTCCCTTATCCATTGGCATTGCTCCTCCACGCTTAATGCAGCAGGAATGAAATAAAAACCTACATTTAGAATCAAAATTAAATCCAATCAGGTATTACAAATATTAGACAGTATCCTTTGTAATAGAACAGCCACCATAAACCTGGTCGAGTTTCCAAGCAGAATATAGGACGATCAAAATCACAGTTTAGCATGGAAACTCCATCTGGAAGTTCACCATTGCCATTCTCTAAGATTGACCTGAAATCTACAACCTCTGACAAATCTACAGGCCTCGGTATCTTTTTCCTAAAATTAACAAAATAGAGACAAAATTACAAACAGCAGTGGCATCAGGTGTTCCAACAAATAAATAAATAAATAAATGTAAACGTTCGACTACATATGTATAAGCGAATTGATAATTCACACTTTTTGGTGTTGTCGTAATATATTTTGTATTTCTTCTCAGCTTTGCGGAAAGCTGTTCTCTCCGTTTCTTCAGTGAATACATCTGATCGGTACATCATACGGTGCTGATAATGGCAGTCAGAACACCCAAATCGAAATGGGAATCGGCTCTTTTACTTTCCAGATAAACAGAAATTTGGTACGGACTACGCAAGAAGAAACAACGTATATACAAAAAAATATGAACCCTAACTTGGATATAAATTTTTT